TTTCCACTATCCCTGCAAAGATAGCTTTCCAAGGGTCGAAATCAAACACAAGACCAAAACCAAAGCCAGAGTTCAAACCTACCAAAGGGTTAGTTTAAGGCAGAAGTCATGTGACTCTGAAAGAGGTTGAAGAGAGGGAATACCCATTTTTAGATTCTGACGTTCCTGGAGTCTTGGATCAACTTCTCGAACAGAAGATAATCGAACTACCAACCCCAAAGAGACTCGAGGAAGTTGGTAAGGTCAATCATCCTAAATATTGTAAATTCCACAGAATCATTAGTCACCTGGTGGAAAAATATTTTGTGCTGAAAGATCTTATTGTTTGCTTGGACAAAGAAAATAAGATCAGACTCGAAACGGGAGAAAGCCCAACGGCTGACTGTTCGATGGTTTCATTTGGATCGTTTGATCCAACTCGTACTGCAAAATGGGACTATGCATGCGATGCTAATAAATCTCCCGCTGAGGAGTTTAGACCACAACTTCTAGAAGGAGTTATTCCAGTGAAGTTTGAAGTAGATGGAGAAATCACTATCAGTTACATCTACCCAGGAATGGATGGACCACGTATACCCAATCATCCAACCTTCTACGAAATTATGACAGATGACTTGGATGTTTGGGATTCTGATTCAGGGTCCGAAGAAGAGATCGGTGATGGCTGGTCTACCTTCATGAGTAGGAAGGAGAAATATCAAGCATCAAACAAAACAGGTAAGACACTACCTTCTGCACCCCTTGCAGGACTGAAATTGGGGGCATTGGATATGGAAATTCCACCTAATGAAAAGGTAATCCTAGAAGAAAACAAGGGAGGATGAACCCTTGTAAAAGGACGTCATCGAAAAACTCCACATTTCCCCGGTTCCAGTATTTGTGAAGAGAAGCTGAGAACAAGAAACAACCAAAAGAGAAGGTCCAAAACCAAGTCGAAAGTGCCAACTAAATCAACGGGAGTAAAAGCTGCTTCACGCGTACTACCAACTCTGGGTGATTACTTTCCTAAGGGTTTCTTCGACAATGAATATTTTACCTCCAATGTTGTCA